TATATATATATATATATATATATATATATATATATTTTAAATGTTGAAGTGCATGTCAGTCTTATTTTGTACTTCTGCTTCACAATTTTTATTTTTTGTGTTTCTTATTTTTTTTGTTAACAGTTTTATTTTTGTTATTTCGTTTTCTGTGTTCCCGTTTCACTCAGTGAAGGTCATTGAAATGACAATTTAAAATTTTTAAGGTTTTTTTTTTTATTATTTTAAAAAAGAGATCTAGCTGAATTCACATTTTTTCAGGTAATATTTACATCTTTATTTTCCTCATATTGATTTCTGGATACTCACTTTATTCCTTTGATTTAGCCATATAGTTCTGATGTTTTGTTTATGTTGTAATCTTTGGTTGTGATTTGTACAAAAAAAGCCACATGTCAAAATATTTATGACTTGGCTTTGGCCTTGAGTAATATGGCACCAATTTTTTAGGCTAGAGATTTTTGGAGTCTCTCAAACCTGTTTTATGGATGTGTCTTCTCTGGGCTTTTGTGCTTGTTGTTCAGTTAAAGAAGATTCCCACGTTTCTTATTGGGAGCCTATAATCACTTTCTATGCTCATTGTCTGACTATGGTACTGAAGTCTTTTTTCTCTTCTAACACTCATTTACCTCAGCTGACCCAACCTGTCATTCAAAGTATACCACCATTCCTTTCAGCACTGTCATGGAACCTAGAAATTAGTCTTTGGCAAGGCCACAGAAAGCCAGAAGCATGGACACATGTGGCACTATTTTCTTTCTTTTTGGAAGGAGAAGACAGGAGTTGGGAGTTGTATTGGGGATGAAGAATGGGTGTGGTTGGTAAATATAAAATACTTTTCTTCCACTTCTATATTGTTCTTGGCATTTTGCTTACTTGCAATGCTGCAAATACTCAACTGGTTTTCATATTTCTCAAAAAAGCATTTTGGTTATTATATTTTTGTTAAGTTTATATGTCTATAAAGAAATCACAGTGTGTGGTATTTTATTGCCTCACTGTCTCAATGTGCTTAGTATAATTTTATGTTTGTAAAGTATATTCACCTTAGTTAAATAAGTGAGATAATTTGTTACTGTTTTCTTAGCTGGACCCTTGTTTTTTCCCTACAGAGATATTGCCGAAGCAGAACATAAAAGATTCATCTAAAAATGTAACACCAAGAAAATACAAAAGCTGTGACCTTGATAATTTATGCTTAAAGAAAGCCTGGCAAGATGAGAATAATTGCAAGGGGCAGAAAAGTAGTTATAATTACCTCCAGCAGTGTTTGTCACCCATCCGTAGCAAGATATGCCAATGCAATAAATGTGGCAAAGCTTCTCAGTGGTGCTCAATTCTTACTGAAGATAAGAAAATTTGTAGCAGAGAGAAACCCTACAGTTGTGAAAAATGTGGCAAAGTCTGTAGGTCATTCCCAGGCCTTACTAGACATAAGAGAGCTCATACTAGAGGAAAACCCTACAAATGTGAAGAATGTGGCAGAGCCTTTAAACGCTTCTCAAACCTTACTAAACATCAGAGAATTCATACTGGAGAGAAACCGTACAAATGTGAACAATGTGGCAAAGCCTTTACTCGCTCCTCAACCCTTGCTACACATAACATCATTCATACTGGAGAGAAGCTCTACAGATGTGAAGAATGTGGCAGAGCATTTACCCACTCTTCAGCTCTTACTAGACACGAGAGAATTCATACTGGAGAGAAACCCCACACGTGTGAAGAATGTGGCAAAGCCTTTACCTACTCCCGAAACCTTATTAAACATAAGAAAATTCATACTGGAGAGAAACCCTACTATTGTGAAGAATGTCGCAGAGCCTTTAAAAGCTTCTCAGACCTTACTCAACATAAGATAATGCATACTTTAGAGAGACCATACAAATGTGAAGAATGTGGCAAAGTCTGTAGGTGGTTCTCAGAGCTTACAAAACATAGGATAATTCATGCTGGAGAGGAACCCTATAAATGTGAAGACTGTGGCAAAGGCTATATGTATCCCTCAGAACTTTCTCAACATAAGAGAATTCATACTGGAGAGAAACCCTACAAATGTGATGACTGTGGCAAAGCTTATAGGTGGTCCTCGGGTCTTACTAAACATAAGAGAACTCATACTGGAGCAAACTATACACATGTGAAGAATGTGGCACAGTCTTTTCCCGCTTCTCAACCCTTTGTAACCACAGGAGAATACATACTGGAAGGCGACCTTAAAATGTGAGGAATGTGGCAAAGTCATTAAGTGTTTCTCAGCCCTTACTAAACATAAGAGAATGAATAATGAAGAGAAACTACAGGTATTAAAAATGTAAAAAAGCCTTAAGCAGGTCCTCAATTTTTTTTTAATATATCAGAACAAATATGATATAAGTGGAATCACTATTGAAGGATATTTAACAAAAGACTTAGAGTATACAATAATTCTTTTATTATTTATGAACCTTACAAATAGAGAGGTACAGTACTTCTACTTACATTACAGATTTTATTATACACAGAAAAATTTAAGCAAGAGGAAAACCTTATGAGTTCCACAAACTTTACTAATTTTTAAAAATAATAGCTCCCAGATTTATTGATTTTTTAAAATAGCTTTTTATGTCTCAGTCTTTTTCAGTTCAGCTCTGAATTTTGTTATTTATTGTATTCTACCAGCTTTGAGATTTATTTGCTCTTTCTTCTCTAGTTCTTTTACTTGTAATGTTAGGCTGTTAACATTACAAGTTAATCTTTTTTTAATGTGTGAGCATTTAGCACTATAAATTATTGTCATCACACTATAAATTATTGTCTTAACACTGCCTTAGCTGTTTCCTAAAGATTTTAGTATGTTGTAATATATCTTTGTTATCATTAATTTTAAAAACTTCTTTCTTTCTGACATAGCAGGAGTGTTCAATTTCCATGTAATTGTATGTTTCTAAGTGAATTTTCTTAGTCTTGATTTCTAATATGGTCTGAGATGGCTATGAAATCAGTTATTTTGCATTTGCTGAGGAGATTTTTATTCCTGATTATGTGATTGATTTTATAGTATGTGTCATGTGGTGATAAAAAAAATGTATATTTGTTTATTTTTGGTTAGTGTTCTATAGAAGTCTATCAAGTCCATTTGACACAGTGCTGAATTTAAGTTCTTAATATCTTTGTTGATTTTGTGTCTCAATGATCCATCTAATATTGTCAATGAAGCATTAAAGTCCCTCACACTATTGTGTAGAAGTCTGTCTCTAAGAACTTGCTTTATTAATCTGGATACTTTTGTGTTGGGTGTATATATATTTAGCATTGTTGTCCCTTTACTATTATGTAATGCCTTTCTTTATCTTTTTATAATCTTAGTTGATCTAAAATCTGTTTTGCCAGAAACAAGGATTGAAACTCTTGCCTTTTTTCTGTCTTTTTATTTGGTTGGTAGGTTTTACTCCATTTTTTTATTTTGAGCCTGTGTGACATAGTGTCTTGAAGACAATATACCAGTGGGTCTTGATCCTTTATGCAGCTTGCCACTTTGTCTTTAATTTGGGGCATTTAGCTCATTTACATTTAAGGTTAGTGTCAATATACGTGTACTTGATTCTGTCATGATCTTAGTTATTTTGCAGACTTGTTTATTGTGTAAAACAAATGGTTTTGTTTTGTGGTTGCTTTACAGTGTCACTGGTTTATGTACTTTAATGTGTTTGCCTCTGTCTTTCCTATTCAGTGCTGTCTTCAGCACTTCTTGTAAGGCAGGCCTGGTGGTAACAAATTTCCTCAGTATTATCTGAATAGGGTCTTATCTCCTTTACTTCTGAAGCTTAATTTGGTCAGATATAAAATTTTTGGTTAGAACTTTTTTTAAAGTATGTTGAATATTGGCCTCTAATCTCTTTTGTTTTTTTTTTTTGTTTGTGCCGAAAAGTTCATTGTTAGTCTGATGAGCTACCGTTTGGAGGTTACCTGGCCTTTTTCTTTAGCTGCCTTTAACCCATTTTCTTTCATTTCAGCCTTGGGGAATCTCATGTTTATCCGTCTTGGGAATGACATTCTTGAGGAGTATCCAACTGGGGTTTTCTGTATTTCCCAAATTTGAATGTTAGCCTCCCTAGCTAGCTTGGGGACGTGATCTTGGTTGATGTCCTAAAACATGTCTTTGAGGTTGTTTTCAGTCTCATCATGTCTTTCAGGTACACCATTTAGTTATAGATTGGGTCTGTTTAGATGATCTCACATTTCTTGGAGGTTTTGCTTATTCCTCTTGATTTTTTGTTTTCCCTCTTCTTGCCTGCTTTATTTCAAAAAGCCAGTCGTCAAGCTCTGGGATTACCTCCTCTGCTTGGCATATTCTGCTACTCATGCTTGATTGCTTTATGGAATTTTTGTAGTAGATTTTTAGCTCTATCAGGCTGTTTATGTTCTTCTCTATATGGATTGTTGTTTTTTTTTTCTGTCAGTTCCTACAATGTTTTATCATAATTTTTAACTTCCTTGCGTTGGGTTACAACTTAACTCTTGTAGCTCAATGAACTTTTTTCCTATCCTTATTCTGAATTCTACTTCTGTTACTTTAGCTATCTCTGCCTTTGCTGAGAGGTGATTTGGTCATTTGGAAAAAAGAAGCCACTCCGCTTTTTGAGTTGTCATCATTGTTGCACTGATTCTGTCTCATGTTTGCAGGCTTATCTACATTTAAGCTTTGAGGTTGCCGAACTTTGGATGGAATTTTTTTTTCCTTTTACTTGGTGCCCCTAAGGGTTTAATTGAGGTATAAGGCAAATTCAGCAGATATGGTTGATTCCTGGGAAATTTTAAGGGGCCAGTTCTCAATTCACAACTTCTAGGCTGCATGCACTAACTGTAGGACACTTGTATTGAGCCCTGAGTTAATTCTCTGGTTTCTTGAGGTTTGAAGTCCACTGTGCTTGGGGGACTGAGGTGATGCAGCTGCAGCAGAGTGCTAGTGGATGTGGAGTTTTGGGCTCTCTGTGGACATTCATCTCATTGTTAGAGCCAGAGCATCTGGGTGGGAGTTGGGGGCCCCTGCTGGAGACTCTGGGTGCTGTTGTACTAGTGGTATTGGCTTGAGACAGGGTATTGGCCAGCACAGGTTCAATGCCTTGTCTGTGTCCTGCAAGCTCAGTGTGTGGAAGCATCCTCCCTGTTCTCTGCACAGTGTCAGCACAAGGGAAGGGCAGGGCTTGCGGGCTTTGTGCCAGCCAGGGCTCCATTTGCAATTGCAGTTGCTTGGGGTTGAGAGTCATACTGCATTCCCATGGGCTGGTGGGCAAGTAAAGCAAAACATGCCCATGGAGACATGTGCCATCAGAGTGATGTGGGAGTTGCTTGCCATGGACTTGGGGGAAGCTTCAGTAGAGGGGGGAACATGAATGCTGGTGCATAGCCATAGGGGCCGCTTTGCTGGAGCTATTCATTAGTCAGGCAAGGTCCACCAGTGCAGAATGTATGGTGTGGGCCCTTAGGGCTATTGAAACTGCCCTGGAAGCAGGTGTGGCCAAGCTCTGCCCAGGAGAAGCTATCATTCCAAGAAGTGCTCAGCTTGGACTGTCCTCTTCTGATGTGCAAGACCATCCTTCAGAGATCAGGTCCAACAGTTTTTCTATGGCTAAAGTCTGTTACGGGAATAAGTTGAACTTAGAGGGATGGCCATCTCTGGCCATGGTCCTCTACAGATACTCTCACACCAAATCCTCTGCTCCACATCACCTGGCTTGCCTCCCCACCACTTTCTTGTCTTCTGGGAGTGACACCTCAGAGAGCTGTAGCTCAATAATCACTTATTGCAGTAAGTCCAGGATAAATGGCCTGTGTTTTAGGCCAAGCAAGGGGTTGTTTCTGTCTGGTGATGAGCAGTGAAGTGTGAGTGGGACCCATTGGAGATAGACTGGCCTTTCTTTGGGCTCACGGCATGCAGCTTGTTGGAAGTGTGGATAAAGAACTTTGAATTTTGGCTTTTTCACTAGTTGGAGGGTAGCAAAGACAGTTCCAATATAGGGGCAGTGGCAGAGACGCTTCTATTAGTTGCCCCTGGAGGCTTTTTCTAGGGAATTGTTAAGTTGCTAATAGCTCGGTAGCACTTGCGTTTGTTGGCTAGAGGCCCAGGCCAGGAGGACCTACCTAGTGAGAATATATGAGATACATATGGGGTGATTAGAATAGTTTGGCTGCTTTCCCATAGGACTGTTACAATATGCTGGGTGTCCACTGTTGTTTCTAGTCACTTCACATTTTCCGGCACCTGAAGATATCACCAGTGAAGGCTGTAAAACAGAAAAAATAGCAACCTGCCCCTTTCTCTGGGAACTCTATCCTAGAAATGTATAGAACAATTGCCAGTCCAAAAGCACTTGTAAAAGGTAACTGGAGACTCCTGATGGGAAGTTTCACCCAGTGAGGAGAAACAAGATTTGGGACCCACTTAAAAAAGCAGTCTGGTCACATTTTGTAGGGCAGCTTTGTCATGTTAGGGTACCACTTCCACCTCTGGTTGACTTGGAATCTCCCAAGCCAGAGGCTAGAACAGCCTAGTCACCCAAACAGCAAAGAGGGTTACTTATCTACCATCTGGGGGCTTTGTTCCAGGGAGTTTCTAAAACTCCTTCAGCTGGAGAGAGCACCAGTGGTTATTTCTGGAGATCCTAGTTGGGACATACACTGTCCGGTGAGGAGGAATGAGACTGAAAACCTTTACCAGACAGTCTGGCCATGTTTTTGTAGAGCAGCTGTACTGTCATGAGGGATCCTTTCCACCCCCACTCAGCTCATCAAAGCCTAAAAGCTGGAATGGCTTAAGTTGCCACAGCAGCAAAGGCGTCGGCCCACTCCTCCGTCTTGGAGCTGCACCTCTGGGAGGTGCAGTGCCGCTACCAGTGACTGCCTGGATTTTAAGACAGTGGGTCTTATCCTGTGGGGTGCTGTGAAAGTGGGGCTCACCCCTCTAGAGTCCACCTCTTTCCTGTGGGTATGCACAGAGGTGTAACCTTCCGTTTTGCTGGAGTTGCAGCCATGTTTTTTGGGAAACCCAGAAAGCCAGAGTATCTAAGGCCCACAGGTCTCTGCACAGGCCTAGGCCTCTGCTCTGCTGAGACTCCACGTAGCTCTGTGTGTCAAACTGAAGGCCTTGGTAGAGTTGCTTCATGCAGTGTCTCCTGACCCAAGGGTTGCAGAGGTCTGTAGGAGAAGTTTGGGTTTCCACAGTGACTCATTCACTTGCTGATTTATTGGGTGGGGAGGTGCTGTGTCTTCATTTCTTAGTATTTATACAAAATTTCATGGTCATTGGTTGCTACATCAGTATTATGAGAAGTTTTTCTTTATTAGATGGACACGTTTCCATACTTTTCTGTGGAAGATTAAGAAAACTGAAATATAAGATGCGTGACAAAATTCTAAATGGGAAGGCCCTTAGTGGATGGTTTACAACAGTGTCATAAGTGAAAGAATAGCAGTGTGGTAAGTGTTCAGAATAATATACTTATGCATTATAATAGGAGAAACATTTTGAATTTTAGAAGTAAATTGTTTTACCATTTGCATGTTAAGGTAATTAAAATACAGTGGATTTAAAAATGCTTTTATTAAATGACAGTATGTGAACTTAATTTGTTTTAATAAAAATGGTTTTAATGTGGTAAGCCTGTTTTACATTGAATGTGTATCTTGCCACTGATGTTAGCATCCCATCTTGCCCAAGGTTGGGTAAGGTAACAGCATAACAATATACAATAAGAGCATAACAATACACTATTCCACTATTGACATAGTGGAATAACCTCTCGTGATTCTTTTTGTCAGTGGGCTTCAACTTCAGATAGCTTGGAGAATATTGTTTCTACAGCTTACGCTTTTTTTTTAATTAGTAACTACAGGTTATTATGTTAGGAATAATAAGGATTATATGATTATAATGGAGTTATATATTTCTGAATTCTGAATGACAATTTACAAAATTTTATTCTGTTAAACATGGGACTTCTGTGGTATGCAAAACACATACAGACTTTTAGTTTTGATTTATGTGGATTTAAATATACATACATATCACTGTAAAATAAACTTTAGGGTATTATTGGAGAAAGCAATCATGTTTGTGAATGGCTGTGTAGCTACTCTGAGAAGAAAAAAAATAGTAGAATAAAACATAATTTTACAAGGATTGATAAGTTTCCAGCAAACCAGAAACTTCAAAGATTTTGAAAGCAAATCAGTTTTCTCTGCTTTATACTGAATTTATTTATCTCAAATATTATTACTCCTGGCTTAGAGTCTTCTTATGCAAATCTTCTGTTTTTTGTTTGTTTGCCTGTTACTCTAGACCTACTGTATAATTTTCTTTTTGTCAAATTTCAGAAAGTATTTTCAATATAATCCCTTCAGGGATTATAAAAGTGACTTCTAAAATTTAATGGTGTTCACAACATAATTTTAAGGTGTAATTTCACAGTGAGTGTATTGCATTCTATTTAGTGAGTGCATTTTATTTTTTCAATTAGATAATGCTATTTAATTCAATTTTTGTTTAGATATGAATCATTTTACTTTTTAGAATTGTTATAGTTGAGTTCATTGAATTTATTGGGCCAACTTATTTAAAGTGAACAGTTGGAGCCACATAAGGTCTATTTGGCATACGTGTGAAGTAAACAAACACAGAACAATGCTAGCTAATAGAAGCTATGTAATTAGTTATAAAATTCTTATTGAAACTAGCATGTGGCCTCAGGTGAATAATTGAAAATATCAATAGTGAAGAAATGGCATTGATTCTGCCTATGAAGAGTGGATAACTGTACCCGTGCTGCACAAGTGACTCACTACATTTAGAAGAAAGTGTTGTTTCTTTCATTTTCATAAATACTGCTTTTCTATATTTTTATGTTAATCTTCAGCTACTTATGCATAAAAGCCCTTTGCCTTATTTGCCTGTATTATGGCTACAGCTTTCTTACTTTTCTACCCAGCCTGTGTCATTTCACACAGTGCTTGTAGGTTTTTGTGAGATATTTGGAATTTTGTAATTAGTAAAATACTGTTTTTTTTTAAAACTGGCAGCGTCTTTTGTTTTTGAGTGTGTATGTTAAATGTTAAACAAAAGAATAACCTGTAAATTTAAAATAAAAAAAGATTTTTCCAGGTTGATGTTGAAATCTTGAGGATTTTCTCACTTTTGTATTCTTATCTTTTTTATTTTAATGACTGCAGTTTACCGTTCACATTTTTATTCTTTTTAAAAAGTATGTCTGTATGTATGTATTTTTTAGATGGAGTCTTGCTCTGTTGCCCAGGCTGAAGTACAGTGGTGCAGTGTCGGCTCACCACAACCTCTGCCTCCTGGGTTCAAGTGATTCTCCTGCCTCAGCTTTTCAAGCAACTGGGACTACAGGCACACACCACCATGCCCGGCTAATTTTTGTATTTTTATTAGAGACAGGGTTTCACTATGTTGGCCAGGCTGGTCTTGAACTCCTGACCTTGTGATCCGCCTGCCTTGGCCTCCCAAAGTACTGGGATTACAGGGGTGCACACAATTTTTATTCTTAATCATGTAACTATGGCAACTCCTTGGTTATTTTCTTTAGAAAAGTTCCAGAAATCATAGCACCTTCAAAACAAACATTTCCTTAGTAATTTAGTATGCAAACTGCCTTTCTGTATTCACAGAGGTGGGACCATTAACAGCACTTGCCTCTTTCATGACTTTCATACCATCATCAATGTAATTCAAGGAGATAATAGCGCAGCAGAAATTTCAGTGAGACTGAAAATAGCAGTGAAAATAAATGAAGACCAACAAAGTGGAGACAATAAATGACTATGTATTACAACTTTGCCCTAGCAGGGGAATTAGTACCATCACATCTGTTTGGTGGCTACTCAAAAATCAGAAGAATGAGTGAGTTTTATAGTATAAAAAAAAAAAGATGTAAGATTTTAGATGTGTCCCTATTGAAGGCTGTTAACATGGGGAAGATGTAGAAAGGCTCACTAGAAGCTGAATATCCTATTTTTTTGGTAAGTCTATGCTTGGTTTCTCAGTATAATTCTAATTTGGAAGCTGAGGCAACAGTTAGGACAGCTGTAACTTAAGACTTGAGTGTTTGGGACTTTTGTATTCAGAGATTTTTCTGTAGAGACTGGCTGTTATCCCTTTGCTTATTTACCTGTTCAAATAAAAAGAGAAGCCACCCAAAGCAATAACATATATACACGTGATACATTTGATTGATAATGGGCTTCTGTCTAGACACTAACTTCTCTTACTGTTCATTAACAAAAGACAATCTATTGAAAAGGCAAACTGGGTATCTTTAAGGAAGATGTATAATTCAAATATGTACAGCATTATTTGTCATGGTTATTCTTACCAGCATTACAGTGCCGTAGAGCTTCACACCCACCAGAATGGCTGTTATCAAACAATAGACAACAATAAGTGATAGCAAGCAGGGGCAGAATACAGACTCCCTGTACATTGCCCATAAAAATGTGAACTAATGTAGCCACTTTGAAAAAGAATTTGGTAGCTTTTCAGACTGTCATATATAGAATTATGATCCAGCAGTTCTACTTAAATAATTGAGAATCCATGTAAACACAGACTCATGTCAATGCTCATAACAACAGTATTTATAGTAACCCAGAGGGGAAACAACACAAACAGCTAATGAGAAAAGAAACGTATACGTATACAATAGAATACTTTCAGCAATCAAAAAGTTAAAATACGCAACACATTCAGCTCAGAAGGAGCAGATGCCACCACAATGTCAGCTGCCACAATGAAGAAGACAACCAAGGGTCAATGTCTGGGACCCCACAGAGGCTGTCATTGTGGCATGACTGTGGCATGACCAGCAGAGGCACAGAGTATAAACCCAAGGCCATCTCACTTCATTGAAGGTGTGGTGGGCATCTCTGCATGCTCAGATGTTATGCTTGGATTCCAGGCCAATGTGGCTGGAGCTCATGGAATCCCCTGAGAGCTGAGCTTTGGCAATAGCATGGCCAGCCTGGAAACCAAGAAGCTCGGGGATCATGCAAACAGAAAGCCCAAGGGCAGCAGCAGTGACAACAGATGCTGCATGAGGAAGAATGCCTGGAGCTGTAGAAGAAAGACCTAAAGCTTGAGGCAGCCTTTGCATGAGACCAGGTAGTCCGCTAGGCCATAGGTACTTTTCTGGTCATCATGGGACCGAGCACACCATGGAGCACAACAAACTTGAAGGGTCTAAGCACAAATAACAGCTTTTGATTTGGGGGGCAACCAACTAAAACTTAATGGGTCAAAAAGATGCACTTAAGACACTGCAATCTCCATCAGATTTTGTAGGATCCTATGTGATCTGAGTGGATGCCTGTTGGGAATCTGGGTTCAGACAGTGGTTTGGTTCATATGCTTCTCTCTGCTCACTCATCACCATGAAAGGGAAGGTATGTAGCTGAGGTGAAAACAAAAATAGCTGAAACATGATAACATTAAGAAACTAGAAGCCCACAAATTTATAGAGAACCGTAGTCATTGGGTTATTGTATAAGCAGCATGTGGGTGAACCACACGCTGGTGTTGATTAAAACTGGCTTCATGTTGCCATGTGTAGAGAACCACATGTGGCAGCTGGGCATCAAGCATCATACAGATGCTGCTTGCTTCTAACCCTGCACAAATGGTGGATAAGGCCAGCCAACCATCAAAATGGCAGGGGGGACTAAATTTAGCATGAAAATGGACTGCAAAGAAGATAGCTATGTTTTGAGAGCTCTGGATATTGTCAGCTGGATTACAACTCATAGTGACAAGTTCATCTTCCAGGGATGGTGGATAGTCTGTGAACTGCTACCTGGGCAAGTTGCCATCTCTATGAAAAAGAAAGATGGGCACGTTTTTGCAAATACCAAATGTGGTTGTGTAGATATGGCTTGTTGAACTAACCACACATATGGTTAGTAAACACATATGAATCCTAAACTCCCAGAAGTCTTCTCCTGGGGCTGTGGTGGCTATGGTTCGCTGTGCCTAGAATCAGAATAATTAGAATTAGATGGCCACCTTACCCAAGCTGTTTGACTTTTCAAGGTGTGGGGGTCCCCATATCTGCTGACTAAACCTGCCTTATTGTCAGTGAACAGGGTGATCTGTTTTCCTAAGAGGCTACCTGCACCTCCCATGAGGCTACCATGTACCAGAAAGCAATTTTGAATATTTGTGGATAAAAAACTTGGGGCTTGGCTTTTAAAAAGTGCAGCATTATGGTCATTCTGGATGGGTCTGGTGTTGGCTTTCGGGGATCACAAACTCACATTTTTCACTAGAGCCCAAGAGGTAAAGGGCACTGCATAATCTCTTGGAGCATGCAGCCATTAGCTAATCATACTCCTTGATGATGACCAAAGATGAAAGTGAGACCCAGAAAAAGAAGATAAAGTGTTAGCGTACAACATTGAAACTGATTCTCCTGGAGAGCAGGTGTTATTTTTCTGTGCCCTGGAACATGAATTAAAATGAAGAATTAAACAAAGCAAAAAGTTGTCTTTCACCACATTTTTGTTAGACTACCTAAAGTTCAGTCTTACAAGTGATTTAACATTAACTACCTTTTTTGATCTTTTCAAAAATTAAAAGTTTATCTTATTTGATAGTAATATATTTTTGTTTTCATTTTTATGGATACATAAAAATTGTACTTATATGCAGGGTACATGTAATATTTTGATACAAGCATACAATGGGTAATAAAGCTTAGTAATTGGGATATTCATCAGCTGAAACATTTATTTAAAAAAAATTTTAAGGCGGGGTTCCAGAACATTTACAATTTCTTTGTGCTGGAAACATTCCAAATCTCTTAGCTATTTTGAAATATACAATGAATTATTGTTAACTAGTTACTCTATTGTGTTGCCAAACCCTAGCCAGATGTTATTTCTTTTAACTATATTTTTCTTTCTTTTTTTTTTTTTTTTTAAGACAGTTTTGCACTCTCACCCAGGTTGGTGTTCATTAGTATGATCTAGATGACAGCAATCTCTACCTTCTGAGTTTGGTAGATTCGCATACGTCAGCCTTCTGAGTAGCTGGAATTATAGGCGCACGCTACCATGCCAGCTAGTTTTCGTATTTTTAGTAGAAACGGCGTTGCACTATGTTGGCCAGGCTGATCTCAAACTCTTGGCCTCAAGTAATCCACCCACCTCAGCTTTCCAAAGTGCTTGGATAACAGCCATGTGCAGCCAACTGTATTATTATTAATGTTTAATAAGTATTTTTGCTAATAGTTGACTTACCACTTACAAAGAAAAAAAGAGGCAAAAGTATGAAGCAATGTAGATTTATTTTTTGGTCCTAAATACATTTTCTAATACATTAGAAAAAGAATAATCTATCTCAAATACATTATGGTAAGTGAAAGAAACCAGATTGAAACATGACAGACTGTACCATTGCATAGATACAAAATGTTAATTATTCCACAAGAATGCAGGTTTGTTGTTGTTTTTAGTTAGTTTTGCTCTTTGTTGCCCAGGCTGGAGTGTAGTGGCGTGATCTTGGCTCACAGCAACCTCTGCCTCCCAGTTTCAAGTGATTCTCCTGTCTCAGCCTCCTGAGTAGCTGGGATTACAGGCACCCACCACCATGCTAGACTAATTTTTGTAGTTTTGTTAGAGACGGGGTTTCACCAGATTGGCTGTGCTTGTCTCAAACTCCTGACTTAAGGTGATCCACCCACCTTGACCTCCCAAAGTGCTGGGATTACAAGGGTGAACCAGTGAATAATGCAGTTTTAAAAGAATATCCATTGACTGGGTGTGGTGGCTCAGCCTGTAATATCAGCACTTTGAGAAGCTGAGGCGAGTGGATCACCTGAGGTCAGGAGTACAAGACAAGCCTGACCAACATGGAGAAACCCTGTCTCTACTAAAAATATAAAAAATTAGCCAGGTGTAGTGGCACATGCCTGTGATCCCAGCTACTCAGGAGGCTGAGGCAGATGAATTGCTTGATCCCAGGAGGCAGAGGTTGCAGTGAACCAAGATGGAGCCATTGCACTCCAGCCTGGGCAACAAGAGCAAATCTCTGTCTCAAAAAAAAAAATCCATAAAAATGCAAATCAATAGAGACAGGCAATAGATTAATGATTGTCTATTGATG